AAGTTACTAGATTGGGTAAATGATTTTCAATCTAGACATATATATGTTAAGGATAATTAAGGAAAATAAGATTTTAAGGATTTAATAAATTGATCCTTATAGTAATTATCCTTCAGTAAAGGATAGGAATACATGCCTTGAGTAAAGGGCTAGATTTCCTTCATAAGATGCTAAAATAGAATAGCAAACGACAGATAATCTCACACTCTCAATGGGTGTTTATTTTCATAAGTAAGCAAGTAATAGAATAGGCTATTTGGCGAAAAGTGAATTCCAGCTCTGTAAATCAGGTAAGTAGGAATCTCGCCTACAGTATGAATAGATTTTAAAGAAAAAGTTACACATGTTATATATGCATGTTTATGATTTAAGTATTATATGCGATGCTATGTCATGCTGCATACACTTAAGAAGTGCACTTGAATTATATGTGTTTGAGTACATTTCATGTTATAGTATGTTATGCTATGTCATATTGCATACACCTTAATAAGTCAAGAAGAACTTATAAGAATAATCTAAGTTGAGTGTCGTACCAGCCTCTGAGAGGGAGGTAAATTTATGACAACCATCAATCCCTTGAGGCACAAGGCCAAGAAAGGGTTAGTTATGCAGTCTCATACTCCACAAGGGAGATAAAGGAACAAAAAAAAAAAAAAAGGGGTCCTCTGCAAGGGAGGCACTCAGTTCAATTATCACCGTGTCGTCGGGGACCTTGAAAACCCTTACATCCCGATGATTGCATGCAAGTGGTACGAGCACTCGGGCCCATTAGTAACAAAGATAAGATAAGATAAGATAATAAGACTATGATAAGACAACATAATTAAGCATAATCAGCTCATGCATATTTATTCATGTGTAGTTACAGTTATTTGGTGAGAGATAATTCCTACTTGCTGAGTGAAAGCTCAATCGGATATGTTCATGTTGTAGGTAAGAAACCTGTCAGCAATTCTTGAAGGGCAATGGCGAGCGGCGGACGAATGGTGGAGATGGGAATGGATACCGCTCTCACTTAAATCTTCCGCAGTAAGTTAAAGTAAAATCATGTATATGTATATATAATTCAAAGGTTTCAAGCACGTATGTTTAAAAAGTATATGTACATATGTTTGTTAAGAGAACCGAGGTTGTAGCTAACAACCCTAGTCTTGAGTTTTTAAGTTTTAGAACGTTGCAACAATGCATGCAACAAATAAATGAATTTTAAACATGACGATTTAAATGATTGATTTTAAATGGACTTTAAGATGTACTTGAATTTAAGATTTCTCATTAAATCCGTTTTAAAGTCAAATTAGATTGCCATATTGAATTGGCTAGTTTTAGGAAGGCTTTTAAAGAGTGTTTGAAACAAGAGTTCATACGCTGCTCAGTTTGAAGGATATTTCTGAAAGGTTTTATTTTAGTTAAAATTAAGAAAAGCTTTAAGAAATTTAGTGATTCATTCTTTTGAAATTATTATTACGAATTATGAAATTATTCCTTATTATATTTAAAAAAAAAATGTTCCGTAAATTTTAAGAAATCTTAGTAAGAACAAATAAAATTTCAGTTACAGTGACCGCCGCTAAGGAGGGTCATCACAGTAAATTTTTGTACTTAGGCTCAATTTAATTAAGTCCATCAACTTGATATGGAAACTATATTAGGGTTGTGTGGGTGTTTTCCATTCCTGGGCTCACCGAAGAGGCATAGTTAGCCATATTTGGGAGAATTGGATAGAGCCATCGCAAGCCCAGGGTGGCGCCTATCTTTTCTGAGAATGGCAATTGTGGCTCTGATCACGCGCCGTTATTGCTAGACCCTTATATGGAGAGGGACAACCTTCCTCGGCTGTTTAGGTTCTTGGATGTGTGGAATCAAAGATCCTACGTGCCAAGAAGTGGTTAAGGAGGCATGGAAGAAAGAGGCAAAAGGCTTTGAGAGCTTCAAATTGGCAATCAAAATAGGCAATGTCCACTCCGCTTTAAAGCAGTGAAATAAATTGCATTTCGAGCACTGTCAGACTAGATTGAAGCTCCTGGAATCTAGGCTGGAAGTAGTTCAGTCTCAGCGGGTCTCGGACACTATGTTAGCTGAAGAAGAATGGCTGCAGTTGAGCATCTTGGAGATGCATGCTAGAGCGTAATCTCGGGAAAATTGGCTACGACATGGGGATCGAAACACTCGATTTTTTCATGATTCAACGGTTATCCAACGAAAAAGAAACCATGTTTGGGCTATTAAATCTTCATCACGGCGGTGGTTGACGTCCAGGCAAGCTATTGGAGATTAATTTAAATTAAGATCCATTTATTTCACCAATTCAAAGTTACAATTTCAGTTTTGCTACAGTTAAAAGCTCTAACAAAAGTCACATTTAACTTTTTCTGTTACAGTTAAAAATTCTCACGTAAAATCACATCTCAACTCGAATTGAAAACTCGAATCTGCGAACTGAACGAGGCCCAAATTTCCAACATTTGTTTGCTTCTTCCAGTCCTTCCATTGAGCCAGAATTAGAGCAGCTTGTGCACGCCAATGTAAACTGATGAGGATATTCAGAGACTGTATCGGACTCCAGAAGCTGAGGAAGTAAGAAAAGTGGTTTGGAGTATGCACCCCTTCAAAGAGCGCCGGGACTGGATGGAATGTTTGGGTCTTTTTTCAAATATCACTGGAGTACAGTAGGCCAACAAATTGTGGCGTTTGTCCGCGAGTTCTTCCACATTGGCAGATTTGTTAGAAGCATCGATAAGACTTTTCTCTGCTTGATTCCACAGTCGGGTGATGCAAACTGTTTTAATAGGTTTCAGCCTAATAGTTTTATGTAATTTTACATATAAAATTATTTCTGAATTGCTTGCTAACCAGCTGTGGCAAGTGTCAAACAAACTTGTCTCCCCATTTCAATCTGAATTGTCCCAAGTCGATGGATTGCAGAAACTTCCGTCCTTGCTCAAGAACTCATGCACACGATCAAAAATAAGAGAAGTAGTGATAGGTATATTGGGTTCTCATCGCGAATGGATTTGCTAAAAAAATTTGTTGAGATGATCATGTTTTGTATCAGTTTGGTGTCCTTCTCTATTCTTCTCAATGGAAGCCCCCTTCGGGCTTTTCGCCCCCACAGGGGATTGCACCAAGGAGATCTGATTTCTCCTCATCTCTTCATTTTATGCAGTGAAGTGCTTTCAAAGATGATCCTTAGAGCTCAAGACCAAGGCCCCCCTTAGCTTTTTTCTTTCTTTTTTTTTAATATAGTAGTTTTAATTTTAATATAATTGATATGTAAATAAATTAGACTTGACCTCTCATAAATTAATAGTTCTCTATATTTTATTAGGCTAACTATTTAGATTTTAAAAAATAAAATTATTAATTTTATTAAGTTTATAAACATTAGTATAATCTTGATAAATAAAAAAAATTTGACCAATCCGATTCCGTCACTGGCTGGGCGGTTCAATTAATGAGTCGTTAAAAGTCGGTCTCTTTTTCTCTCCCAACGTTAGTGTGGGTTACGCGGAGAGCTCCTTTCCGAGGCAGGTATGGGAATGCTAGCTTCAAATGAAAAGTACTTGGGTAACCGGTTTTTCCCCTCTAGAGGTCAGATTGCGGATTTTACCTTCTTGAGAGATAAAGTTTATCAGAGGCTTGAAGGATGGAAGGCTAGGTGTTTACCTTGGGCAGGGAGGACTACTCTCACTAACGCGGTGGCATTGAATCAGCCTATCTACTTGATGTCCACTTTCAAAGTGCCATTGCAAATTTGTGAGGATTTGAACAAAGCGGTGCGCAAGTTTTGGTGGACGGGTAATCTCTAGAAAGCACGGTACTTGTCCCCAGCCAAAGAGCAGGGGCAGCCTCGGTTTCGGATTGTTTGAGGATTTTGGGTTAAAGCTCTTCGAGGAAAGTATTGTCGGTATGTAAGCTTCTGGGATGTTGAGATTGGTAGCTCTGACTCGTTTGTTTGGAAGAGCATTGTGGGATCTCGTAAGCTGATCGAGAAGGGTAACTTCTCCTTGGTTGGTGATGGAGCTTCGGCAAGAGGTTTGGGCGAGCCCGTGGGTGTCGTGGATTTATCAAGGCATCCCTAGAGCGGCCTTCAATCCAAGTTTGAATGGTTCTCCACTTCAGGCTTTGGACTACAAATTTGTATCTGATCTGTTCCTCCCTAATTTGCGAGATTTAGAATGTGGAGCTAGTTGATAGCCTTTTCGCCGAGCAGTCAAGAGAGTAGATTAAAAGTGCCGAACCCCTTCCTCACCCAAGGTTGGACATGCTCGTTCGGTGTGCTGCAAAAAAATGGAAGAGTCTCGGTGTAAAGCGCCTATTGGAGTGCCGTTGAAGGTCAATTACGCGCTGAGCGCCCGTTGCGGAGACGTCTTGGCATTTGAAATTGAAACATCATCTCAAAGTGTTCCTCTGGAGATGTGCTCTTGATATTCTACCCACCACAGAGAGAATCCTCAAATGCAGGCGAGCAGTGTTGATGTATCTGATGTTGCTCTGGCTCAGGGAGGGATCGGTGGGGATGTGGAAGTGTCTCCTGAAGCATCAAAGATTTATTTTGATGGGGCTTTTGTTGATGGAAAGGCTGGTGCAGGTGTTGTTGTCCAGGACTTGGAAGGCTTAATTCGTCGTGACGACATTCGCCAGCAATATCTTAGAAGCTGAGTTAGAATCTGCGGATCTCGGTTGGGAGGTTGGCGATTGCAAAGTGGCTATTGAGGCTCTGAGTTCTAAGCGTTACCCGGAAGACTGGATGCTTATTCCTGTGTTCTATCTCTTCTATTCTAGCTAAGTTTGATTCTAGTGTGAATTTGTCTTTTACTTGGATTCCTCCAACTGAGAATTATTGTGCTGATCGGATTGCTAAATGAGCCATTTTTCTGGCTCCACTGGTTGTTTTAGTCTGGAGGAGGTGGCGCCCTCTGTGGCGACCATGTCTTAGCATTTCGTTTTCAATGAAGCTTTTTCCTCAAAAAAAAAAAAAAAAAAAAAACTTGATATCAAAACGAAAGGACATGCATTAATATTGCACATTAATGCAAATACACCCCGCCACAATTTTACATTCCCAATCTCAAATCGATCAAGTTGTGCATTTATATAATTCCCATATGAACAATCCGTTGATCGTATTATAGTTTATATATCTCAAAATTCAAAATCATCCTGATCATTTGGCTTGGGCGAAGTCAACAAAGCGGTATAAAGCTTGAGCCTATCCTCTCCCAACGACGAGCACCTGGACAAGGGTCTCCTCGGCCGTATAAACGACAGCGAAGTCAAAGTCAACCGGTGCTTGTAGCGCCTCCAGGCCAGCTGGATTGCCACCGCCGCCCATGTCCGCCACCCGGGCGAGTAGTACCTGGCGCTCCTCTTCACTTTCTCGTTCACGAAAGTGTACCTGAAGTGCTGCGTCACGTACTTCACGTCCTCGGCCTCCAACCCGAAAGCCTCCGTCGTCTCGAGCGTCACGAGCGTCGAGGAAGACGGGGGGAGACGCTCGATGAAGGGGCGACGGAGACACCATGACAGGAGCTCGTCGCCGCTGAAGTTGCCGGGGCCTAACATGCAGCAGCTCTTCAAGCCGTCGCGCAGGACTTGGCTACTTTGGAGGTGGCCTCTCACCACGAATAGCATTCTCTGAACTGGATCTCCTTCTCTCGTTATCTGTTAAATTCATTTTCAGAAATTAAGCTCAATTATAGTGCTCGTTCTGCACACTCGATGGTGGAACTACTAGAAATTATATTTATATATATATATATATATATCAGAAAGTTTAAATGTAGTTGTATATTCCAATTATTTAGTGAGGATATTATTATAATATTTTGTAAAAATGGAATATAACGATAAAATTTAGTTAAATAGTGAGGAAAATTGTCATTTTTTCTTGTAAAATTGAGACACAATTAAACTTTATGAGAAATTGTAAGGACAAAAATCAAAATTTCCAAAAATAAAAATAAAAAAGAGTCGAGTAGGTGTCCTTAAACTCATTGTTGTGTGGCTTCACTATACATTTCCATCAACATATATAATTATTCTTTTATAGAACTAAAATAAAAAATTTATATCAAGAATATATAGCACTTGTTTTTTTCACTATCACGTTATTTTTCAATAGTCATAATAGTGCGACTTTTCAAATACTTATAGTAATTATTAACGTGACAGTGATAAAAAAAAATATAGAGAAATGTTATGGTTACTATTTATGTCACTATTTTTGTTACTCTCTGCATTTATAGTTTGACGCGTGAATTCCACTAACATGATATGTTATTATTTAAAGAGAAAATGTGATAATAGAGTCTATATGTCAAACTGTAAATGCAAAAGTGACAAAGAGAGTGAAGTGACTCTAACATTTCTCAAAAATATATAATTAAAGGTAGTTCTATTTTTTTTTTTTTTTTTTAATTATTGATATAGATAAAATTAACCAAAATCAGTTGTTACATATAAAGAAGTAGCTAGGGTAGTTTTCCAATTTAGTATAACTTACTGTTTCTCCCTTGGTGAATATAAGGGACTTGACTCGGTCGCAGATGTTCTCGAGGACTAAATCGTCCATGTGTTGGAACAGAGGTACCTGAAAGTGATCAAACAAAAAGTTTTGAAGAAAGTTGAAAATTTCAAGATCAGAATTTGTCTTTATCAAATTTTCCAATTATACATCTTACCTGTATCTTTTACTTTCTATTCTTCATTGTAGAATTACTGTGCTAAACAGTTTCATTCACAAACATTAACAATGACATTATTGATGCCAGATAGTTAAGTGTACTAACGCAGTTATCTTTTGGGGTCTCTTTTTTTTTTTTTTTTTTTAGGGCAACGGTCTTAAATTTCGTTATTGGAAGTGATATATAATTGAAAATTTTTCCAATTTCAGGGGAAAAAAAACACAATAGAATTCGTTGTTCTTTGTTATGATTATTATAGCAATGTCTAAGATGTTGTTGGTTTTGGATGTACATTACTTTTGCAGTCTTGCACTATACAACATAATCAAAATTCTAACTTTAGTTAATGAGTGTTGTTAATTAATTACCTGTCTTACTAAATCTAAGCAGAGATGGTACTTGATGTCCCTCCTAAGACCCTCAGGGAGGTTCCTAATCATCTCACATTCATCAACGCCGCGCATGGCGGCCCACCGCTGGCGCTCGTAGTTGCGCACTCGCTGCCTGAACCCCTGAGGCAAGTGCCTCTTCCTCATCCACCACTCTATGTTCCTCATCTTTAATTGCATTGCTTGTTTCTTGGACGTTGTAGCATGCAAAAACACCTGTAGGCATAAAATAGTAATTATTGTATATACCATATAACTAATTAAGGATCAATCTATTTATTACTTCCTATAACTAAGAAACCAACTAAGTTTTGATAATTATTAATTTGTTATAATTTCACACACATATATCAAAAGAATGGAATATGTTTTATGTATATTACCTTAATGTTTCCAATCAACATGGTGACTAAAAGAAGTCCACTAGTCAAGACAATGATGTTGAAAACTACTTCTAACCATTCGGTTGTGCTCTCCAAGTTACCAAAAGTGCTGCGTCACAATATTGGCAATAATATTTCAGCTTATTAACGGAGTAAAATTTATGAAAATAAAAATAAATGATACGTATAGATGCTCCTTTTTTTTTTGGGCGTGGAGCAAGAGTATTCACAAGTTATATAGTGGGACATCAATTAGGACAATTAAAAAACAGCTCATAGATAGAATAAATGTAGGATAATTAAGATAGTTTAATTTGAATTTTTATAAGAGAAAACACTGCAATAAAAGATTTTAAGTTGTAAAAATGATGGAGCCTAAGTTTTGGGATTTTTTCTGTAGTCCCTACAAAAATGGATTACTGGTAGTCCCATATTTTTCATCCGTCAAATCTATATCAGAATCTGTTTGTTCTGCATACCTTTTTAATCTGATTTAATTTTAATCAAATTCAACAGTCAAAAACTAGGACAAACGATAAAACAGACTACTGGAGAAACTCTCATTTTTCAAAAAGTAAATGTATGTGTGCTAATGCTATGCATGTTTTGGAGTTTGCAACTAATGATGTTACGTAAAAGGGTACAACTGAAACAATGCAATACGATGGACAAAACTGGACCATTCGCATTACAATTTTAAAAAAGTTGATAAAGTGGGATAATGTACTATTATCGCATCTTGAATTTGAAAGAAAAAACACAAATCAATTATGAGGGCCCTAGATTTCTTTTAAGCAAATCACCAAACAACTAAAAATGATGCAAGAGCTAAGGAAATTAATTAATGCCTTCTACTTAAAAGAAAAGAGATAGAGATATTCAAATTATCCGTGTAATTTTGATATTTTAAATTGTGTCTAATCAATTATATTTTACTCCATCATATAAAGGATTTAAACATTTTTAAATGATTGATGTGCGGAGAAACTCCCATTTTTTCTCCATTTTTCAAAAAGTTGATAAAGTGGGATAATGTACTATTATCGCATCTTGAATTTGAAAGAAAAAACACAAATCAATTATGAGGGCCCTAGATCTCTTTTAAGCAAATCACCAAACAACTAAAAATGATTCAAGAGCTAAGGAAACTAATTAATGCCTTCTACTTAAAAGAAAAGAGATAGAAAGATTCAAATCATCCGTTTAATTTTAGTGTTTTAAATTGTGTCTAACCAATTATATTTTACTCTATCATATAATTAATTTAAACATTTTTAAATGACCAATGTGTCATGATATGCGCAGTTAGACACCATTTAAGATACTAAAAATTAGACGGGTGATTTGAGTCCGAGACGGAGATACCTCAGAGTCATTAGGCCCCAAAATATGGGAAAGAGCATCTTTTCCAAGCGGCTATTGTTGGTAACAAGCTGAACTGTCCACCTATAAGCTCCGTAGTCATAATTATCAGCACTGTCTAAACAAGCAGACCTTGCCTGCTTGTTTAGTGCCCATGATAGTCTTGGTCCATCTCTCACCATGCTACTGCCTCCATAGTAAATGGGTTCTTTACAAGATAATATTGTTGGCCCACAACCACTTGTGGCCCCACATTGCTCTTTTAAGCATTTCGCTGCCCTTTGGATTCCCAACAGATACCAACAAGCTCCTGCAGCCTGCAAACATGAACGATATATGTCATGTCAAAATATTATTTCAATGTAACTTGTCTTTTGTTTTATTGATCACTCAGAATTAGCTAGCAATATATATGTGGAGCGTGTGAAATTCACTCCCCATAATAATATGGTGGCTTCTATAATTATATAATAAAGAGCTATTTAGCTTTTTATACTCTGTGTTTTAGATTTATTTAGTAATTATACCTTCAATTTTTTTCTCATGAAGTATATACTTTCATATTAAGTTTAAATATAAACCCATAACTTTAATAAGTCATTACTCGATTTTGACCTAAAAATATTCAAGACACCCTTAAATAGAAAAATGAAAAAAATGAAAATGCTCTAAAAAAAATAAGAGGATGGAAAAAGAAAACACATTTTTTGAAGATTTTTTTATTTTTTTAATTTTTACCTTCTTGTATTTAAGGGTATTATTTTAGACGCTGTTGAAGTCAAAAATCAAGTATTGACCAAGAGAATGTTATGTGTCTTAAATTAAATTAAAAGATATATATTGGATTATGAGATAACAAATTAAAAGTATACGTTCTCAACAGTGCATAACCCTTTCATAAGTTTCACAAAAATGTGATAGTATGTAGAGAAAATAATAATAATAATGATAGTAGGAATAATAATAACAATTACAATGATAATAATAATGAAAATAATAATAATAATAATAATAAAATGATCATTACACAATAATATATGCAAACAACACTATAATGCAGATGGGACTCTGCTTACATCACTAATATTCATGAGGATCTGTAGTAATGATTAACAAGAACGAGTAGTGCTGCATATATTAGAGGACGTTTGTAAACGGTTTACAGACAGAATCATGATTCAAAATTATTCTCATTTTACGTGTATTTTTTTGAGAAAAAATACTATAAAAAATCATAAATCGTGATTCAGAATCAATGACGAATATAGAAAACAAACATCTCCTTAATTCTTAAAATTATTCTCATTTTACGTATATTTTTTTGAGAGAAAATACTATAAAAAACCATAAATTGTGATTCAGAATCAATGACGAATATAGAAAACAAACATCTCCTTAATTCTTTTAAAGACAAAAGAATTGTAGCACTATACGTTCTAGTGCTCTAAAGTGAAAACTACATACTTTTTTTTAGATAATGGAAACTATATCAAGATAAACAATGTTTTTTATTTCTCTCATTAGATTTGCTTTGGCCAACAATGTTGTCACTAAAACCGTGAAAGAGCTTTATGTTCTCTTCTTTTTCCTTTTTTCTTTTTTTTTTTTTTAAGTTTGTGGGGCACATGACACATCTTAGTGTATATATATATATATATATATATAAGGGCACCATTTGTGTAGCTTGCAAATTCTAGCTAACCTATAGACCCATGCGTAACTTTCATGGAAAAAGACAATTATAAGCTTAAAAAAATCCTTATTTCTTCTATAAGCACAAGAGATAAGAATATTATATAATACATATATATATGTCTGTATATATGTATATAACGATGATAAGCTATATATGTAGAACAAAACAGTACTAGTTTTTTTCTCTTGGTCTTGACCAAAACAGTACTAGCTTTTTTCCCTTGGTCTTGACCATGCAGGCAATTATATTAATTGGTATATTTAAGTTCCACTTGTGCTAGAATACAGTGCTTGCTTTTTAAAAATTATATACATGCTTTTGAATATATAGAAGTATTAATCTAAGAAGAAAAAAATATTTTTTCCATCACATGGTTCACGAGCACTAGCTAGCTCCTAAATAATATTCTTGTAGTTTTCATCCCTTGTGTAAATTTCCTACTTTTGTGTCTTTATGTTTCTCTTTATTGTCGGATTAATTGTACTTTTTTAGCTATATTCAATACCAAGAATGTTAGATATAAGACTTAAGAATCATCTTAATAGAATTAGGACTCTACATTAGCATTACAATGATATTATAAATCATCATTACTTCAATTCTGTTAATATAATTTACAATACTGTGGAGGTTCCTCATTGTGTATATATAGGCCTAGTTCATTTCCCTAATTCAAGTTTTCAATTGTAATTTTACTATAGTTAAATGCTCTCACAAAAAATCACATCTAACTTTTTCTTTACAATAAAAAATTCTCATATAAAATTACATCTCAATTTAAATTAAAAACTCGAATCACCGAGCTGAACGAGGCCATAATGTTTGTTCGTGATATTCTAGTTCAATGGTTTTCTCCAAAAAGAAAAAAACATTATTCATTTGAAATGGGAAAAAAAAGGCGAGAGAGAGCAGAATATGCAAGGAATAATAATACATCAAATACAAATTAGCACTCAAGTATACCAATTCAATCTTTTTTTTTTTTTTTGGCTGAGAAAGTTCAAGAATTCAAACTTTGAAAAAACGTTTAAAGTTTAAAAAAGGAGGAGAAAACGACAATATAGCTAGTACTATATGTTTAAGGATGACAAATGATTGTGACTAGCGCTAAAAAGTTGTAAGAAAATAATAATAACAATAATAATAATTATTATTATTATTATTATTATTATTATAATAAAGGGGATTTTCAATTATGTTTTAGAAAAAGGTTTGAACTTACGTGTGATGCGACAAAATATGCAATGAGGTTGAGAGCAATTCCCCACCAAACAGTTCCAAAAATGTAGCCAGAGAGGTTCTGCATGCGGCGCAATAGGCAGACCGAGTGATAAATCTTAGGGAGATATTGGAACAGAAATATTATCAAGAACACCGTCATCACTATGGTCACTGCTCCTCTTTCTAACAGAGATGGGATTGCCACCCATAGTACAATCTGTAATCACACAAAATAATAATTAAAAAGAATGAATATTATATTCAAGTTTTCATAACAAAATTAATTAACAGATAAAATTTAGAGACAGAAAATAACGCAGCGGAATGGGATGGATAGAATTATCAGCTTAATTCGGACAGATAAAATTTTGACAAATTTGAGAGAAAACTCAATTCTATTGTCAATAAGCCAATATTCTCGTATTCTATTACAATAATTAATGCGGCTATTTTCACATTCCACTAAGATAAACGACTTGTTAGACAATTAATGATACACCGATAACAAAACTAAACTAAATTGATACAAACTAGAGTATATAACCACAATAAAAATAAAAATAGCTACTATTATATCTAAAACCTCCCACAGTGAGAGAAACTAATGGCTAATTTAATATATATCCTTATGTTCCATGGGAATTCAGTTCTTATATTTTAATCTGGATTAGGTGGAGATTGATTCCTTTAAATTGAGGTTGAAGAATGTCTCAAAATCTTTATGAATATTGGCATAACTAAAATACATAAAATAAAAAAAAATTAATCTTATGATTGCTTCCAAAGAAACGAGAAAATATTTCGTGAATGGGAATCTAATTATATATATTGCCGAAGATGATAAACAATGTATTATTTTCTATTTAATCTCAAAATTGGAGCAATTAAAATACTCAAGCCGTACTTTCCTTGTGCTTCTAGAGAATATTTTCAACTTCTAAAGATGGCTTGTCACCAAGCTAGATCTCAAATTAATATTGCACTAAAAAAGAGAAGATCTCAATAACCAAATTTAATTTATCACTCCCAGAAACAGACATATATCCACACCTATTATCCTAGTGATATTGATATCTTCAGATACTATATCCTTAAAATGAAGGGGGGAAAAAAAAAACAGAGCAAACTTGTTTCCCAGTCTACCCCCTAACACAGAAAAAACACCTGCCCTATGGTGTGTGTATATATGTACATGTGTTTATATATATATATATATATACATATACATATATATATATATGTATATGTATATGTTACTGTATTTCCTGACTGCACTTCTTCAGAAGTGAGAAGCCAGGAGGGCATAGTGGTCCATAACTGCATCGCATGCATAAAAACACCTAATAATGATGGCTTGCATCTGTCACCTTCTCAAACCGCTATCGTACAAAAACAAAACAAAAAAATTCAAAACTAGCCATTTGGTATTAATATTACTGGTGATGTTGATCACAATAACGATAAGGACAGCCAAAACATAAAAATTAAAAAATTAAAAAAAAAAGATCAAGAAGAAGAAAAAGAAACGGCAATTGTCAATTATTATTATTATTATTTTTTTTTTACCTGGGGCAAAGGAAGAATGACAAAGAGATCAAACAAGAAGCCCCTCTTGGCCTTGAGATATCGGAGAGCCACCGAGCGGGCCGTTGCGTCCCTCAGCCCGGCGGCGGCGCTTCCGTCGACCGCGCCAACCGCGGCGAAGGACCTTTTCGCCATCTTGAGCTGCAGCCACATGTTCCACACGTGCAACGCGTCGGTCATGCACCGGAGCACCGTCACGGTGACGGCGAACCACCCGTCGACGAAGAGGCACATACACGTGTCGCTTATCGACAGCGCGTAGAAGAATAGCGGGTCCACAAAAAGGCCCGTTGCACATACCAGTAGGAATACCCTGTTCCATTCCTGGACCCACTTTGCCCTCGGGTCCAGCACGTGCCCTAAAGACCACCCCTTTCGCCGCCGATCCCCGCCACCTCCGCCGCCGCCGCACGTGTAGAATAAGAAGCCTTTGCTCTCACTTCCATTACCAACCTCATCGTCTGCTTCAGAATCGATTCCTTCTTCTTTCTCGTTATACTCCTCTCCTTCGCTCTCTTCGTCTGTGAAGTACTGCATGTTCGAGGCCCGACGAATTTCTCGCTGGTCAGTAGCCATGGAGGGGAGAGAGAGAGAGTAGAGAGAGAAAATTGTGTTTATGTTTGGCGTTTCAGAGGCTTGTTAGCATGGTATGGATTTGGAGATGTCTACAAAGGAAACAATAATAAGAGGAATTATTCTTAGGGGGCAGAAACAGACAAAATGTCATTAATTTGAATTTACAATATTACCCTCCTGTAAAAATCTACTCTTTGGCGTTACAGTTAAATAGACTGAACTCTGGAGCTCAGGAGTGTGAGAATCAAATTAATTTCTTGTGTTAATTTTGCATATGTAATTTTACTATGAAAAATGTACGCATTTATACCAGAGCCATTATAATTGGTTGACAAAATCTGTGATTATATTAATTTAGATGGGGCGATCATGTATTAATGATAGAAGAAAACTTGCTGAGGATATGCGGTGTATATTCCTTCTATATTTTAGAGTGCATGGATAACAAATATACACACACACACAATCATATAAATATACAGTTGTAGCCTTTAGGGGTGAATTGATCTTGCCCAATAAGATCTAATAAGATCTGTTTAGTTCGCTGATTCGAGTTTTTAATTCGAGTTGAGATGTGATTTTATGTGAGAGATTTTTACTGTAGCAAAAAAGTTAAATGTGACTGTTTCTGAGAGCTTTTTACTATAACAAAATTAGAATTTTAAACTCGAATCGGTGAAATAAACGGGGCTTATATCTTTATCTTGTTTATGATTTGTCCTCTTTTTATAATTCAATGTCGTCAATATTATTCATGAGAACTACAATCAGTCCGAAAAAGAAAATATATACTTTAATGATTAAATCGACATTGTACCCCTCATGAACTATTGCTAGTTGAAATTATTATCTCTAACATTAGTGTATGATATACATATATATATATATATATAATGAGAAAAGACAAATCCAGTCTATCTAAACATATATACATGGTTTTGAACACAACAAGTGGAAAATGCAGGTCCGTCCGTCCCCATATGCATAGCGTGGATATATAAATCAGAGAATTCAAAAACTAATGTCAGTACTATGTCTGGGCTCCTCTCGAATAATTGTCATATATATAATGTAAACACACATATATATGTGTATGTTAATGTGTGTGAATATATATGACTATTAATTAATGAGTTATGTATGTTGCTAATATATATAATTATATGTATCATGGACCATTTGGTAGAAACTAACTAAAATTCTTGTACTTATTTCCTTTGTTGAACTCATGTAAGAAATCTCCATGTCTTTCTTTCTTTTTCTTTTTTTTTTTTCCTAATTAAAAAGGGCGTCATTGGTGTCCTCACGTCCTTATCTTGTACTTATAGAAAGAATTAATTTGTAATATATGTACAATAGTTAAGGGTCTAAACTTTCTTTCCCCGTTCACAACTCAAGTTTTACCGGCCCATTCAGAGATGACATTGCCACTTTTAAAATTGACACTCTTTTTTTATGAAGACGTGGGGATTCGATAAGCTGTGAATGAGATAGACTTGAGGGAGGTATCCTTAACATCATGCCACCACCACCATTAGTATTAATCTCAATTTTTTAGTCTACATTGAACACAACGTTTTCTTAAGACCCGTTCACTTCGCTGATTCGAATTTGTAATTTGAGTTGATATGTGATTTTGTGTGAGAGCTTTTTACTGTAGCAAAAAAATTAGATGTGACTGTTTCTGAGAGCTTTTTACTGTAACAAAACTCGAATTCTAAACTCGAATCGGCGAAATGAACGGAGCCTTACTTTTTCATTTAATAAAGTATACTAGTTATAATCTCTCATTATTTATTAAAAAAATGTAACCACATATAGATATGTATGTATATATATACACATATATGTTTTTTTGCTAATTAAGCTGACGTGGCTGGTTATTAGCTTTCCATATCTTCTGGCACTAGTCCTTGGCGCGTAATAGGAAGATCAGCAAAGTGTGTTGGTGGGTTACAATCATAAACATTAAACTCGTTTAGTTGTGGATTTAAATTTTTAATTTAAATTAAAATATAATTTTATATAAAAATATAAAATTTAAATTAATAAAATAAACGGCCATATTTTCTTAAATGAGAACTAATCATGTATACTTAGATCTGATTCTATTAATTTGACATGCCTTTTTTTTTATATGTTCATTTTATTTATATCTAACGGTTAGAAACGTTTAGCGTAAAAGCTACTTCTTTTAAATGCATGATCGCTCCATCAGACGTCTGCTCGGAGAAAAAGAGAAAAGAAGATTGATTAGAGGCAGTCCAGTCTTATCACAAAATTGCCTTTTCAATCAACTAAATCATAACTAGAGTCTAGAGTTTATCTTTCGTCATTATATGATAGCAGAAAAGGACGTTGTATAAAGTTAGAAATTTTTGGGTTGCCTTTTGGCAAATAATAACAGAGACATTCCTTAATGGTTATCAGTAAAATATTGCACTCACAATAGTGTTATTCGTTCACTTCGTTGATTCAAATTTAAAATTTAAATTTTTTTACAGTAAAAAATTTTTATAAATAATCACATTTAATTTTTTTGTTACAGTAAAAAACTCTCATATAAAATCATATCTCAACTTAAATTCTAAACTCGAATCAGCGAAGTGAACGAGGCCTACACATCATTATTATGGTCCCATTTATTTCACCGATTTAAATTTAAAATTTAAATTTTATTACAGTAAAAAACTCTCAAAAATAATCATTTCTAACTTTTTTACTACGGTAAAAAATTTTCATATAAAATTATATATTAATTTAAATTAAAAATTCGAATTAACGACTTAAATGGGCAATATATGTACTTGTTATAAATTTCTCTCTAATTTAACATTTTAAAAAAGCCCACGTGATTCATTCGAGTTTACGATAATATTTGGTAGGTAAAATCTAGTAAAACTTATATGTACATAGAAATATATGACCTTTCAAAATATTTTGAATAAATTAAGTTAAAAAATTGGACAAGAAAGATTGCGGTTCACTTTGTGTGTCTTTGATGTTTCTCCCTTTTAATTATGTAGTATCCCTTTTTTTTTAAACTCCACTATGATAACCTAATAAGTAGTACAACCTCAACCACAAGTATCACGTAATGTCAGAAGTTAGTGGTGGTTTGTGTAATCATATTACTCGACAGTGTAAAGAGTTGTTTGGTTAGGAGATTCGTATCAGATTTGAATTATAATTCGTGATTCGTTACAATATTTTTTCTTATAAAAAATACACGTAAATCAAAAATGATTTCAATCTCATAATTCTAATTCATGAACGAAATGTCTAAATAGTTGCCCACACATTAACACAATTAGCACTTTCTTTGAGTAAAGAGTGCTATTGAGTTAACGACTTTTCCTACTTGTATTGAATGTTTTGTTATAGTCGATAGTTGATCAACATAATTTATAAAGTTCAGTTTCCATTTCAATCAAAAAAAAAAAAAAAAGTGAGCGTAAATTACGCATTACAAATAAGAAATGGACCCCGATTAGGAAAAAATTAAGGAATGGACCCCCCCTAAGTCCTAAATAGTACTTAGTGGTTGCATTGTTCCTAAAAATCTGGACCATCTCTTTTGAATCGTACTCTTTTGTGTTTATCTTAGGCCAACCATATAAATACACGAATTTAAAGCTTTCTTTTCTTTTTAGCTTTCCATTTCACCCCACGTTATATTGAGTGCATCAATCAGCTTCAATAAAACACTGTTAAATAACCATTATATATGTATATGGGAGAGAATATAGGCTGTGATGTGTGTGTATAATATGAAGAATATTAGAGATATATGCCTTGGACACTAATTTGTATTTTCAGCCTCTCTCATGTTCTCTCTTTTTCCTTTTAAAATCGTATTAAGAACAAATTTCCTAAAATTTTGTTTGTGAAGGAGTGGATACAATCTATCTCATTTTCTAGACATTTTAACATGAATCAAGACCTGTTGTCCCCATTATTTTTCTAACTCAGTAGCTATCCTCCAATTAAATTCTTACACCCCGTGAATTGGTTATGTATTTTTAATATTTTATTCTTATTTATAGGGTGAGATCTATTTTAATTTAGATGACATTACAAATAATTAATGGAGGGATAGGCACCGAGATAAAAAAATGAGACAGCAGATCTAGAGTCGATTAACATGACACGGTCTGTACTAATATCATTTGAAAGCAGAAATATTAGCCAAATACGTGCCCTAAATACTTACATATATTATTTATTAAATTGATATATAGTATTGAAAGTAGTCACTCAATATAGATAGAGTACTGAAATATTTTGGTACATACATACATATATACATATATATATATATATATATATATATACACACACACACACACGAGCGTAAATTACGCATTACAAATAAGAAATGGACCCCGATTAGGAAAAAATTAAGGAATGGACCCCCCCTAAGTCCTAAATAGTACTTAGTGGTTGCATTGTTCCTAAAAATCTGGACCATCTCTTTTGAATCGTACTCTTTTGTGTTTATCTTAGGCCAACCATATAAATACACGAATTTAAAGCTTTCTTTTCTTTTTAGCTTTCCATTTCACCCCACGTTATATTGAGTGCATCAATCAGCTTCAATAAAACACTGTTAAATAACCATTATATATGTATATGGGAGAGAATATAGGCTGTGATGTGTGTGTATAATATGAAGAATATTAGAGATATATGCCTTGGACACTAATTTGTATTTTCAGCCTCTCTCATGTTCTCTCTTTTTCCTTTTAAAATCGTATTAAGAACAAATTTCCTAAAATTTTGTTTGTGAAGGAGTGGATACAATCTATCTCATTTTCTAGACATTTTAACATGACTCAACACCTGTTGTCCCCATTATTTTTCTAACTCAGTAGCTATCCTCCAATTAAATTCTTACACCCCGCGAATTGTTTATGTATTTTTAGTATTTTATTCTTATTTATAGGGTGAGATCTGTTTTAATTTAGATGACATTGCAAATAATTAATGGAGGGATAGGCACCGAAATAAAAAAATGAGACAGCAGATCTAGAGTCGATTAACATGACACGGTCTGTACTAATATCATTTGAAAGC